TCCAAAATTTCACCAAATTAAGGAGATTGTGAACATTTTCTATGGGTTTAAAACTAACGTTTTTTGATGAAATAGGAGAGACGAATGTTATTATTAGATTTTTGAGTGGAGCTAACTGATGTGCTACCATTTTATAAGTAGGCTTAGTTCAGATTTTTTAATATGAACACCTAACATTAGAACGTTTATTGTAAATAGACGCTGGTGATTGTATACCACAAAAAAGAGCCTGTCTGTGAACCTGCATCATTTACAATGTTTTCATACAGTCAGCACACTGTACACATAACCAACAGCAATCAGTAAACGATTCACCCTTTGAATGTCCACACTATTTGTTGCCAGTAGTGATTAGTTAGAACAATGAACATTAGGCAATAAATATTGCAACATGCTAATTAACAATAAGTAATTTCATAATTTCAATAACTCCATCAAACTAATTTTGTTCTGGTCATTTTGCAAATAAAAACGTCTCGTGAGTCTATGTGTTTCACCAGTTCAAATAAACGCATTTTGTACATTCAAATGGAAAAAAACATCTCGATTCATCCTATGATTTACTCAAAAAGAGAACAAGCCGTGAAGTTATCAGCAATCGTTTGGGATCCTCCTCCGAAAGCTAATAAGACTATTTATGGTTGAATGGTTTTGAGTGCATTGAGTAAAAGAAACGTAAAGATGCCACGAATATTTGGAGTTTGACAACACTTTAACCAGTAGCAACTTTTATCATCGAAACATACAAGCTTAGTGAAATGAAAAGTTGGAATCGGATAGGCTCCAATTTCCATGAAACTTTCCCCATGTCGGTCGGTCGGTCTGAAGCTCGGGAAACAGAAGTGTTTTCCACAATTTCGAGATTCTCCATGCTTATTATGATACCAACACCAATCAGGATTATCTGTCTTTCATGATCTGGAGACAGATCTTCGTGAAGTACTCGTTCAAAGAATTTGAGATTGTCTGCTGTCATGATGAATACGAAGGTAATGTGTCAGTTTATGATGGAGATTGGTAACGTCATTTCGTATCCTTTGAGGTTTTTCTTTCAACGAAAAAACCTCGTTGCTAGAAGTTCTGGTATTCCCGTAAATTCGGTTGGTAGATGTAACAAACCTGTTTTCACAGTTATTTCGGAACCAGGAAAGCACTACCTGCACCTGTTGAGGAAGCGTATACAAGAAAATTTGTCTTAACACTCATTCGTAACAGCATGTCTGTTGCGGATCCATGTTATCGATTGATGTTATCGAGGAGTTGATCTAACCTTTACTGATCGGTTAGATTTCCGTGTCTAAAAATATATCATTTGAGATTTTCATCAGTTTAAGGTACATAGCTAGTGAACATACTAGATGTGACGTACACGTTGAATTCGCGTGGTAGTGCTTTCACTACTGCAAGGAACTATGCACGTCGATCGGTCACGCTGTACTCATGGAAGCCGGCTTCTGCATAACAGAACCAGGTCTCATTGTCATAAGTCTATTATGGCATCAGCTGGTGTAAGAGTATTTGTCGTTAGGTACTTAGGAGATTGTTCAGTCGTGAATAATATAAAGTATGGGAATGGACAAAAAGTGGAAGAATCTCCAAAATACGAAAAAAATATGACGATATATAAAAATTATTGAGAAGCAATGATATATGAAGTTCCAAAATGTAACAGACTTACGTTGGGCTCAACAAGGAAGATGCCACTAAAGTGTGAAGTTGCCACAAGTATTTGGAATTCGACAACACCTTAACTAGTAACAAATATAATCAAAACGTGCCCAATCAGTGAAATCAGAAGTCAGAAGCGAAGAGGTTCGAAGATATATTTGATGGAATAACGATATATTGAGAACTGATCTAAACTGATATGTGGTTGCATGAGAAGCTGAGCACAGCGTACTCACTGGTGATCTGGTGAGGATGCATGAAAGAAAGCTTTCAGCTAGGTGAGTCCATCAAAGCTAATGCGGTCAGCATGAAATGTCGAAGAATACAAACTCATTGAATTTAGCGATTTATTTACCGCTACAAACGTATGGGATGAAAACGTATTGTCACTGGGTAATTTTTATCCCTAAATAATAATTATTTCTGTAATTTTTAGTGGGCTTTACCACTTCTCTGCAAATCACTGGTCGGCTCTTGTACGATCCATCTTTCTGCAATGTTTTATGAACAAACTCACGAAAAATCTCGAAGCGACTCTAGGCTTTTATGTTTAAAATAAGCTGCGTTCAACCAAATAACACTGAAACCGAAAATTATATGCTCTTAGTTAATAATTTTAGTCCAGTACGTTTCTGTATATAGTGCACAGTGAACAGGATTGACAAAGTGTGTTGTGTCATGAATATGCAAATTCTTCCATTTTTTTCTCCTCGATATCTAAATTACAGGATTCTGTAACAATTTTAAGGCTCCATTTCATCACTTCTTGTTGTCAAAGTGAAATATATTCATTTTTGTGTCTTTACTGATTACCACTTGCTGAGTTCATTGCTAAAGATATCGAGTGTTCTTTTTGTGTTGTTAATTGCAATTTCCTATGTTCTTTGGTTTTGGGTCTGACCGATAAGCTTCTTCTGGAATGCGAGTATTATATTATATATTTTTATCGTAATCACCCACTGGTTATGTTAAGGTATTACATTCTGTATTTTTACAGACTCACTGTTGATTAATTTATACAATTCCCCATTTGTTACAAAAGTTGATTACAAGCTTCACTCTTCCTTACGACATTGGCCTTGCAACGAGCAATCGACCAAAATAAAACATGAATTAATAATCACAATATCGTGACCCATGATGGAGGACATGAATAGTTTTTTTTCATCTTTGTAGGCTTATATGAGAAATGTAAATTTTCCGGTGACGAAAATACGACTCTATGATGCAACGAATGTGTGAAGTGAAGCGCTCTGCAATTACAGCAAAATATTGCAATATAGCAAAAGACATACGTGTGATCAAACAGTAGATGGTTAACGTAGGCTATCTGCGTCGATGACGTGGAAGTTTGCTAGATGTGGACGGGAATGACATGACCTCACGGATTTCGCTGGTATCACATCTCGTGGTTAATATCCGACTTGGACAAACCTTATGTTGTGTCAAGTCACTGTGGTGACACATCGGCATCAGATCACCAGTGGGCACTCCGTACTACGCATCCCATGCAACAGCTAGCCAGTTTATACCAAACGCTTCTTCTTTTATTGATAGCCTTTCAAATATATCTCGCAGCCCCTTCATTTCTGGTTTGACTCGGTTAGAATACTACGATTATAAAGGTGTTACGTGTACAGGTGTTGTAAAACTCCGTTTCGCACCAGGTATCAGGATAAGCAAACATTGTTCTGATACATAAGCCACTGAACCAACAATAAGCTGTGCTTGAGGATGGCGTTTCATGGTTATGGATTCTAAATGTTTGACATTCAAAGATAAACAATCTGGCATTATTGATCCTACCCAAACAACACGATCAATCGGTGTCCTTTTGTCTGGTGTTACATTAAGATTAAGTGTTGAGATTTAAGACAACCATCACTTAAGTGACGTGATTATGAGTACAGAATATGAGTAATCTTGTTAACAAACACCTACACTCACATAGGTGCCAGGCCAATTTTTACTGTGACCTCATCAAGGGCAAGTTCGACCTTGAAAATACTCGTGTGGTGAGATGAGTTGTGATGTGCCATTCGCAGAATTTTCGGTTTTATGAAAAGTAGCCTTACTGGTTTAGCGTGTAAAATTGGCAAATGTGTGCCACTACAATACAACCTTATATGCTTATTTGCATAAAAATGCTAAGCAGCATAGGATATCTTTCAAGCGTTGTGGTGATCCCCTGCTACTAGACACGGAAGCCTGTTAAGCGAAAGCTTCTTCTATTCCGTCCACAACCATTTGAACCATTTAAATTAATAATATTTTTGACCCTTCAGTGTATGTAGAATAGTGGAAACCCATCATTACCCGATGGCGTCCAAATAGAAACTTTTTTACCTCATTCGCGTCTGTATTAAAAGGCGTTTACTGATCTCGATGCTTTGTTCAAAAGAAAAGTTTCTGATATTGCTCTTCAAAACGTATTGGAAATTCTATGCTACTGTCTGTTGGCATTTAGTGACTGTATAATTCATATGACATGACTCAGCTGAAATCAGTGATTACGGTTCTGTAGCTTAGTGTACCAGTAGATTTAATAATGTATACTTTGCTTGTGACCTCATGTCGATATTCCTGTATTTGTGTCGTGTAAAGCATTCACCTTTATCTTTATCAGTAATCTTTTCTCGTCTTGCGTTGGATCTCAGCGCTTCATATTAACCGAATTGTTTGTTTCCTAAGTAATCAAGATATGAACCAACACTTCGTACAGGAAATTGCAGTGTGTGTACCACCAAAATATATCCTAATTGGTCATAAGGTATTTAGTACAGCACTAATAAATTATAGAACTCAGGTATATATTCACAGCACATTACAGTGTGTATGGCTAGAGGTGTTAATATCAAACTCTTTCAATCTCTTACTCTTGTTCTTTATGTAACTAACATTGAACCGAATGAAGCAATCGAATTAACTTTCAAGTAGTCAACAGAAAGTACGTAAAGTGCCTTTATTCAAATCATTCAGTAAATAACACTGCATGTCTTAAACTTTCAAGCGATAAAGCTGCATTTTTTGGTGTAACTAGTAGCCAACATTTTTAAAAGGCTACAGTCTGGTGAATTCCTTGCTAATCCCAAACATTTTACACCTGCGTAATGGTGTTGATGTTTATGGTGATCTTCATGTTATTAAGACGTTAATATTCAACAATCTTTAACTCTGTTTTCACTGGCCTGTGTCTATTTCATTTATGCCTTTTCATATAAAACTTAGTATAGATTTTTTTATTTGGTCAAATCAAATGTTGACTCGGATTTCAGATAAATCCCAAATATCTGGTTGTATAGATTTTGTAAACTTTGGCCGACTTCAAATAAATGAAGAAAAATCCCGCTAAAAAACAAAATCGGACATATGTGAAAAAGCCAGCTCGCAGGATTACTATATCCGTAAGTCATAATCGCTTTTTTTACTCGTTAGCGTTCCAAATCCCTCAAAAGTGATTTAGAACGTTATGAGAAAGTGGGTGGGGTTTTTGATAAACGTTTGGGTAATCGTAATGTCACTTTAACTGAGTCCGAAAAGTCTTTGCAAAGACACATCGTCGAAAAATTGGTACATGCATTAGATATGTTAATATAAATTATAGAGACAACTTGATAGTGTCTCGTTAGAAAGTATTGATGATAAAGATCCTTTATTCAAAGCGGCATTTGACTCAAGTTTTCCAGCGAGAAAATTATGCACGGCTGATGATGTGGAAGGCGGGATTGAAGGTGAAATAAAGATTAAGCCACTACGTTTGTAGGTCATATTGTGGAAAACATCTTCTTCACCAATGGTTCTACCGGTAATAAACTGGGACATAGTTTCAAGGACTCTCTGGAGGAAAAAATTGCAGCTACAAAATTGGAAAAGCTAAGACGTGTCGAAGAAAATGAAGAACAACGTGAGCGATTAAAGGTCGTCAATGACGAATGGACAAAAACATTCGTTTCCTCTTAAACAGAATCCACGGCATGAAGAAAGTGAGTTATGTTATTAATAAACGTCATTTTCAGCGTCCGACTACAGCAACTCAGCAGAACAATAATACGAATGTTTCCCGTTTACTAGAAACATTGAGTACCGATAAAAAAGTGGTGCCTATCGGCTCCTTAAATACACACAACCCACAAGAACAGCTCTTTAGGCTTCAGGATATGGTGAGCGCCCGCAGGCCTTCGTAAGTTCTAACTTCATTTCTGTAACAATAAATCGTAACATTCTACCTCTCGATCACTATTTTGTACTGACTTACAAGAACACTACCGGATAAAATAATATAAAACACTATACAACTATGTGTTAACTCGATTTTTGACACTTCACATTAACACTGGACAAGCAAGTCGACATAACGAATGATGAAGATTATTAACAATAACATAAGCCGTAGTGTATCGTCAAAATCAGATTTTTAACTAATTTGAAATTGATGTCATATCTAACCCGTACCATGGACTGAATCTCACTGATCACATTGTAGCAGTCACTAGTCTAGGTGCTTAGATATCACACAATAGTATGTTTGGTCCCAAATTATTGAGGGTATGGATTCTTGCTCTAGTTGATAAGCATTGTAAATTTCCAATAGTACGAAGTATTGTAACCAGTGGTTAGAAATTAGGTAACTTCGATAAAAATCAATTCCAATGGTCTAGTTTTGCTATGTTTGAAGAGAATATGAGTTCACCTAATCTGAGAACGGAACGAAGACTCTGTGACACAACGACGCGTCCCAGCCCAGCTAACTAGAGAGAGAAGTTCAAGTTCGAAAGAGGGAAATATATTCCACAAGCAGCCGGAAGCACGAACAACCACGAGTCTATTCGGAAATACACTCATTTATATATTAATTCATACACCTATTTTTGATTAATAATTGGAATAAAATCACATATATGAAAAATACCTAGTTATAATAAATCATACGCTTAGTACTGTTTATGTTAATTTAATACAAGAATATATGTTATACGGGATAAAATGTCATATGGGAAAACAAAGCCGAATCATCGTCACATCGAATCGAAAAATCATAATGAGTAAATCAATCTAATTTTGACTTCAAACAACGATTCATTATCTTTCTCATAGCCCTGAACATTTTGCTATCACATACGTATCCCATATATTTCAATCGACAATTTAACCGCCTTATAATTTTAATGTTTTTGAGGTTTGGAGGCAGTTAACAGAGAGTATTGAGGCTATATTTTGTTTTTCTTACCACTAATCAGTAATCATGAGGGAACTGTGTTCGAATCCCACGCCTTACACGTAATGTGTTGAGGGTTGACGATAATGATTTGTATCAAGTGGGCCATTCCAACTGGGTTTCATCAAAGTCATTTTGTTTGCGAACATTTTTTACAGTTACTTCCGTCAAGTTTGACCTTCTTATACCGTTTGAGATCAAACGGCAGTGATTTCGTTGGTTGATGCTGTTTTGTGGTCAGATTAACATACTATCGCCGTATTCTTTTTATAAATAAGGCTCCACGGTCACAATCATTCTGTAGTCGTTTTACTACGGTTTGTACCACCACAGTTTCTCAGTAATTGACTATTTCTCAGGCATTCTTCATTCAGCTTGTGGTGATCTGTCAGAATACAACCGAAAGATTGCTCATTCAAATCAATGATGAAACCAAATAGTTTAATGAAAACTAGCAAAACCACCTGAGTTAAAACAGTACCTGGAGTCATTTGAGTATGTGATAAAATTTAAAATTTCAAAAGAATTTTAGCAGTTGTTCAAATAGCACATATAAAATAAAGAACATTGTGTTGCATAACATTTCCAATTAAACTCATTCTATCTACTCGTTTTCTATTGTCCCTTTCCTAGATATGACCAAAATTATTATCGAAATCCATCGGTCCTGTTGTCCTCCACAAAATAGTTTAGACAATAGCACCTGCCATATACGGCTAAAAAGTGATCCGAAAGCTGCTCAGGCACTTTTGAGCAAACGCATTTTGATGTTTTGAACTTTGGTGTTTTATCGAATACCTTCAAACCTAATTATTCGTAATCCTAAGAGATTAGACTTATCAAATGAATTTGGCTTGATATGAATTTATTTGTTACCTAGAATTTCAAGTCCATTTCTGTAATTAGTAACATACTTAACATAATGTGAAAGCATTTCATATAAAGTTGTTTCAATTGCCTGATATGTTCACAATTAATTGTGTTCTTGATGTATGAATTATAGTCTCGCCGAATTTATTTTAATTTCTACTACATTTTGCGAGTAGCTTTAATCGTTATTAACAGTGTTGAACAGTATTTTGATAAAACCTATATCTGACTGTAGTTTGTTCACCAAATGGTAAGTCATTCATAACTTTCCCATTTGTACTTACAAAAGATTTACTGGGAATTGGTTAGAGAAAACCTAAAATCAAACGATAACTTTATAATCTTAATAATCAATTGTTTATGCTTATTCACTTCTTCCCTCTATTTTTGTTAATTGGTGCCTATAGGATTGAAGCGAGCGACCACGTCATTGAGTCAGAAACATTAGTAAGTGTATAGAATAAAAACTATGTGCATTTCAAGTTTAACAATGGAAGTTATCAAAATTAAATTGACTCTTGATTCATTATTTCTTATATATCTGACTTCTGCGATAAGGTTAATCGATTGCCTCTGCCAAATATTTCTGGTTGCACTGTTTTAGGTTTCCCATCTTCGTATTTTACTCAGACTACCAAAAGAAAAGTCCACTGCTATTATCTTCATTTCTCACAAGCTTTGGACAGCTAGATTGCATCGTTTAAAAGACGTTGTTCGCTATCTTTTCTTAATACAGTTGGCGTTTGAATATTGCTCTGAGATATTTGAACGTTTAGAGAATGATGGAAAATTGTCTACAAATATTATTGAATGTGGTATTTTTTGTCCAAAATTGTACATGCACTATCCCGATTGTTTCGCCTTACTTCACTCGGTTCGAATCTACAAAAACACATTTTAGTTTTAAGAAAACCATTGACTACTATTGAAGTGTAAGTATGTACTATATTAGTGATGTATAATTATTTTCCATTCAAACCGTTATTAAAACAATTTAATCCATATAAAATCTATTTTGAGTATTGTGTAGCTTTTGGGGATCCCAAGTGAACCATTTGCGAACAAATTTCCATGTAATACGTATCAATGTTTAATCTACATATTTATTCACTTTTCCTTTTAAAAAGTTCAGAAATTAAATTTATCAAAACTGTAGTATGGTTACTTGATAATGAGCTGTTAATTCGAAACAGTCCTTTTTGTGCATAAGCAATTACCTTGTTTAGAAGAAAAAAATCGAACCATCGAATAAAACCTTTAGAAAATAGCTCACTCACATCCCCATTTGTTAGCATAATTTATAAAATTGTCATCCAAAAATGTAATCTCATATATCCCTAATATATATATGCTTTTTTGCATAAAACCAAAGGATTTTTTTTCTTCCTGAACAACCACCAATATGTCAGTAGACACCATATGTCAGCTATACCTAAAGTAATTTAGGCGCATATGGCGTACATAAGATTTCATACACAACTGACATTTTCAACCATGGCCTCATCTGTTCCAGTGCAGCTTTATAGTACTTTTCTGAGGAGTCAATTAATGAAAATTTTATCAGTCTCGCTTTACAAGTTTGAGTAGAATCTTTGTACATGTACAGAAACAACAGGTGTTATGTCAAAATTGACTGTTTTTAAGCACAAGTCTAATGCAGGAAATGTCAGAAGATTGAATTGTGGGTAATTATTGATGAATGTATCATATGTTATTGCGTTCGTACTGTCATCAGCTTGTTTCCTTTAAGATCGTTCATTTTGAATAAAAATGTCAGACTTTTCAAATATGTTGTCTTCTTAGTTAAGATACATCTTTTTCCGTTTTAGATCCAATTTGCCGAGTCTCGACATTCGCCTTGTAAATAGATCTTCCCCTTTATCTCTCAATGAAATCCCTGTACTTCGTTTAACTTGCGTTTACAGGATGATTCGTCTAGCTAATCAAGTTTTCCTACTATATAACAAATTCTTACCTAAATGCGTTCTAGTGAACTTGTTTCGTCCTTTGAAAACGTCTCTGGTAGAAAGTAACTTCCTTTATCACCCCACGTTTATAGTAAATGAAATCAAAAGTCTCTTCGAATCAATCAAGTCAGCAGAAAATGCTCCTACACCTGCTCGATTAATATCAGATCGTCGTCTTTTAGTTTTGAATACCTTGAAACCAACAGATTCCAAAGAATTTAAAAAGTTAGGCATTCTGCCTCAACTAGAGCCGGTTTTCGATGAACGGTAAATTTTATTTCATCTGCTTACACATATTTTTAGTGAAAGATAATTCTAATTTTTGTTTTGTAATTGTCCTGATTACCTACAGGAGCTTTTGTGTATTATATAAATTACTTGGTGTTACGAACATAGAACATTAATGCGATACTACATCACGTTTTGTCAGATGCTTTGTTACCTTTTTTGAACACTTGGTCGGCTTATTATTTCAAAGTATTGTATTCAATATATTCGATCACAAAGGTCACTTGCCAAAGATTACTCATATTCTAAATGTTTAAATCAGTCTATTAGAAAACAGGTAACAAGTCATTCATTAGCCTGATTCCAGACAGATATATCGTTATTAGTTATCAAGAGTTATTCTACGCTAGTTTCTCTGAAATTTAGTCAGCTACAACGTAGGACCAGGCACATATATCCATCGGTCCAAGTTCCCAATTCTCTGAAAGACTTTGAGTTTCTAAATATATTAACTTGTAAGTATGGCGAAACTTTTTCAGGATCAGACATTTGAAGTACAACTGATGTTCTGTTTAAACTCTGGAACATCCGATTCTAGAATTTACTTTATATATGATTTTAAAGCTTCTAATGTTTTTTTTCAATAGGTGGTTACAAACTAGTTTATGTGGTGTGTTCACTGGAAAATTGGTCTTTGAAATTTTTTGTAATCCAGAAGTATTGATTCAGGGCATAACTGTAATTAGTGACTATTCTTTTCTCTCTCTCTCTCTCTACAATAAATTTATGCAGTTCATTTATGACAGTTGTTTAACCGCATGATACAAATTCATTGAAGTTTTAGATGGATTTGAGCGAACTTCCCTATAAATCCAAAGTGCCCTGGTACGGCCGAGAGTGGAGAGAGTCCGCTCTCCCTCTCGAAATGCTCTCACATGGCCATGCGTATATAGCCTCTGCCAGGGAAGTCCTACTCACTGCCTTCTCGTGGCGGGGGTGTTTTTTACGAAGTTGAGAGGACGAAAAACGAATGTCCGGCGCTTTAACCAGGTTAGTGGACATGGAGAGTCCACCTATGGGAGTTGGAAAACCTTGATTCCAAACCAATGGTGCACATGGGCTCCATTATCCTGAGTGAACAAATGGTGTATGAACCAATCTTTGGTCACAGGCTGCCATGGGACTGAATCTCCTTACGATGCTAAACTGCCCTGTGGATCAGACCTTCATGTCGAAGGCTCCGAGCGTGGCCCCCTAAAGAAACCACCTGCTTCGGTTTGGGCACCCGGGCAGTATCATAGCCCTCACACAAATCTAATGTAATTTGTGTGGCGCATATGTATTTGGTCCCTCCTTGTACCAATATCTATGTGTTAAAATAAATAATCAAGGGCATATTCTACTATAGACGACTAAATTGCTACGATTTCGAATGATTACAAAGTTCAGGTAGCTATGTTAAAGTTGTAGCTTAACCAATCGTTTCTCGAGAATTCATCCAATCTGCCTGTTTTATAACTGGATCCCAAAAAAGAATTGATATGTAGAGGTTTAGCAGTGCATATATTTTTGTCAACGTTGAACAAAAGAATGATTTAGAGGAATGACCATAATGTGAACTTGGTGAATAGTTAAATAAAAGAAAAATTTAGTTAAACACTTTCTAAGCATTCATCAAATGAATAAGGTCGAAGAATGGATACACAAATGTCAAATTAATCGTTCATAATTTTCAAAGCACTCAAAAATGTACTTTCCGATTGTTTCGAACATAACATATACCATAAGCAAGAAACCAAAGCGCGATAGATATATATAGTTTGAAACCTATTAAGAATATTCATACGTCCAAATTATGACATTTTACATAAGAACAGTGACGAAAAATCCATAAAGAAAATATAAAGGAGTAAGGATAATGACGCAGAAATAACGAAACACTAAAGCCGAAAAGTAGTGTGCTTTAAGCTAGTGATGATATTGATCTTTAATTATAGCTTTTAGTGGGTATTAATAGGTCAGTAAAAGTCAGCTAAAATGCGTATTATGTAACTAACCCTGTTAGTTCTTGTATTATCTCTCAGCAGCTCTTATTATCATGACATTTTCAAAGTATTTTATCAATCATAGCATGTCGATGGAAAGGTGGATATTTTTTTCGCTTTATTTGTTCTGAAATTTTTATTTCCAGATTGTGTGTAAATCAGCGTGATAATACTAAACGGACTTTACAGAGAAAAATTGCAAAGGAAAAACGTTGTGCAATGCGGGCTATTCGTCAAGATTGTCAATTTTTAGCTTCACATCAGTTGAATATTATTAAAAAGAGGTAATTCTTATTTTCTGCATTATGAAATTGTCTATTCCATCGAGTGTCGTCTTTCAAAGGGTGCTTAATTTAATCAATTTGTTTTCGTGCTATTAATTTATATTATTTTTATTAGATTGAATATTCCTTAACTTCTCATCATCACTCTAAACTAATACTAAGGTTTCACAATTGTGAAAACCAATCAATACCTGCCAAAGGATTTTGAGTTATTGTCCCTGTTATCGTAATGTTAGTCGGTTTTTTTTTCTCATAAAAATATGGTATCAGATTGTTCTCACTGTACTGAGCTGAAATTGACCTATTATTGTTACATCACGTTGTTTTGATAGGCTTCATCTCATTAGACTATCCAAATCTGTCTAGAGCACTAACTGTCTTAAATTATGATTTACTTATCGAATGCTAGTTAAAGACCATCCCATAGAGATGTGTGGATTTTCATAGATAATATCGTTCAAGAATTCGGCCAGTTCTCAAGTTCAATAGTTTTTACCAAGTTCAAACAGGTTGTAATCATATTATCACTTGTATTGCAACTACTAAACATTTATGAGAGGTAAATAGAGCTTTTCATTTTTTTGTAAACTAAGTATATGTTCAGTTTGAAGTCAATAGCTTATTCGATGAAGTTAACTCCTTTTTATAATAACCCTGCCAATATATTTTCAGGGTTTCAACTGAACTTTGGATTAGTGATCTAATTGTCTAAAATATAGGATCGATCTGTATTAGTTTAAAAAGTTAATGCACGAAGTTTTCTTGTGCGCAGAAGTCTCTGAGAGGCCGTAAAACTTACAACTACATGTATGTAAGTATCGTGTCTTAGGTTGATTATGAAGTCAACAGTTTGAAAACAGTGTCATGTTTTCTACAGTATTATTGTCTTACAGTCTCAAATTGCGGTAAAAATACCTTACGAATAACACTTATTTCACGAAATTCTTGTGTTTTCATAAGATTTTGAGATTTTTAACCCAGGTTACAAGATGTAACCCCTAGCTTTCTATACTTTCTGTTGGTTCTTTTCTTCGGTTCCTCACATTCCATTTTTACATTTATCGGTTTACTATATATGCGAGGATACGAGTCATCGTAATCTGAACGACAAAAGGTGGTGTTGTATCATTTGTTGTCTCCATCCCATGCTCTGTTGTGATGCTATTGTGCTTCAAGTATACGTAGGAATTATATATATGTAATTATTTACTGTTTTTATTGTAGCGACTATATTCGGGAAAAGAAAACAAAAGCCATCTTAAATTCGATGCGTTCAGTTGAAGATTGATACTGAAATCCTATTGTACCTGCAAATAATAATAATATAATACGACTAACTTTCCATTTTTTGATATCTTTTAACTTGAGATCTTGATGTTTTTGAAACAGAAATATATGTTCATTGAAAATAAAGCATGAAGCGAATAACATGATGCAAATACACAAAATGCTTTGAAACTTCTAAGCGCTGTTTTAACATACGATTTGATTCGCTTTAGGAAGAGACGTCGTCGAAACGCTACATTTTCACCTTTTCTTCATAATTATGTGAAGGGAAATTGGATATGCACATAAATTTGTTAGTTTTCTGTCCTCATAGCCTTGGTAAGTTAACTTTCGTGTTTCCGTTTGGCCTTATAACGAATAAGTGTAGGAATGAATTTCTAGTAAAAGAAAGTAAACTACAAAACTTAACACTACAGCTTGTCGACTGATCAAAGATGAGCATCTAAATATCCCTTGTAGCACATGTTCCAAAGTAGCTTTTTTATATTCAAGTCATATAGTATAAATACAGTTGCAATATATTTTGATTCTATTTTGAGCCAGTTTGAACTTAGCCTCGGCTTGTATTAATAATTTCGTTTATTGTTCAAGTTATGTTATAACTTGAATTACTTAAATCGGGCTGCGTATTGCAAAGTTGTCAAACTGACGCTGGATACATCCCTCAATTAAAGTCTATTATAAAAATAAGAACATTTCTAACGACATACGATCTACGTAGCTATATGTTAGTCTTAAAAACATGAAAGGTTAATGTCTAAGTTGCTTTCAGTGAGAAACGTGAGCCTTGTAACAGAAATGAAACTTAAAAATGAGATTAATGAGTGGATTTCCTAGTTGTCAGTTATTTTCTGTTTGCTTATCACTTTTGGTGTCTGATATCGATAAGGCATAAACACTATTCATTTAGGTGATGTAGAGAAGTAGTGTTAATAAAAGCTTTCTCGGAAATCGTTCCATCCCTAAGCATTCACTGTAATCTGGGTGTATCTCCGTTAAAGTATCTACATGTATTTAAAATGCGGTGTCCACTGTGCATTAAATATACGAGTGAATATGCCTTTTTACCGATGTGTTATTGTAATAGTGGTGAAAGAGGAGTATTTTTTCATGTTTAAGAATGAAATCTCAGCACATAATGTGACAACATAACTGAGTTATCGTCACTACTCTTAAACACTTCACAGTCTTCGTATCTTCATTGTGGTGAAAATAAACTTCTCCCTAATCGTAATTTTAAGATGTAGCTAACATAATCTGCACCCTATGTCGGTAAGTCAAAAAAACAACCTGGGTATTTTCAGCTCTGTTTAGTCTACGTACTTGAGTGTTAAAATAACGCGTCATGTTTGACCATCTCGTTCAAAACTTTTTACTTTGTCGGGGCTGCATATACATGTGTTAAACCCAAGTCGGTTTGTTTACACATTAAACAAATAGATTCATATTTACCTTTAGGAATTCACTGTATCGGTGTTTTGCTACGTGAAGTTGTCTTTAATTCACATTAGTGATTATTCTCATTAATAACACTTTTATTATATCGTCCAGTTTTTGCAGAAAATAAAAAAAACTGAAATATTAACAAAAGCTGACTGTTTGGTTTGGTTTTTACTACCAGCATAAGATTTTTAAATTATCACTGGGATACATCTCAACAATTTTGTATGTAGTACATATGAAAGTTGAGTAAATTTGTACAGATAAGTCAACATAATAATTCATGACTATTATTATTATTATCACTGTTGCTATTGCCATCAATTACTTATCATTAAAATAACAAATGTGTGAAAAAATAAGTATGAATGAGATCATTGAACTAACTCTCTTACTGTTAAAAATAATCGTCAAAATACACCCAGGTAGAAGCAAACTATAGAAAAGAAAATCAAAGTAAAATTTACGCAAAATAAAGTTAGAAGAGTAGAGCGAATTATTTTTTATCTTGTTCTCAAATATCCGTCCAAAGAAAAACTTCTGGATATCAATTTTGGAGGAAGTATCAACTTATTCGAAAATTGCAGTAGTGTATACCTAATTTCACCTAGTTATGAGTTTTACACTATCGTTCTTTATGTTCAGATTGTCTTATGTTATCGGTACATAATGTGTTCTTTCTTATGAGTATTCTTTCACCTACATCTTGAAGTGATTCCGCCGTAACTGTCATTGTTATTTTATTTTCTGGGTTAATTTCAGAGTTAGTGTACATTTGACTTGCAGATTTACTAACTGATGTAATAGATCTCGGTTCACTTGTAGCTAAAGGCGTACTTGTGATAGAGCATGGGGCTGTAGCCTTCGTAGAATCACATGAATTATAAACAGCTGCGTGAACAGAACTATTTTCAACTTGATGTACACACCCTTCACCATTTAACTTACTAACACGTGCGGTCTTTGAAACACTACTTTGAACCTTCGCAAAGGGTTTTAAACTTACAGATGTCTTATCTGTAATTGTCGTGGTTGTGTTGGATGCAGTATTAATAGTTGTAGAAATATTAGGTGGTAATTGTGTAGTATGGGTGGCTCTGTTCATTGTGTTGGGGTTCGATACACTTGAAGACATGTTCTTGAATCCAGGGGGTTTCGGCAGTTTCCTGCGAAGCCATTCATGTTTAAAAGCCTCTCGTGGAGTCATGCGCTCTTCTGGTGTCCATCGTAAACACTTTTTAATAAAATCAAGGAAAACTGTATCTTCACAACCTTTAAGGGCCGTGACTAATGACCGACTTCCAGGAGTACCTCTAATTTTACCCCTTTTGGTACTACTACTGCGAAGTACAACACAGCCATTTGCATCCATAGCCATGCAGTATCTTGGGTATCCATAAGTCGTTGAGAAAAAATTTCTCACTCTTCGGCATTGATCCAGTAGCTTTTGGGGTGGCATCCCAAGCAATTCTATTATACAAGCAAGTTGGTCTCCTTCATCTTCTCCTGGAAATATAGGAGCACCTAATGATGGGAATAAGAATAAAAAAATTTCACATTCGTTAAGGGAGTTTCACACACTTTTTCTTATTCATAGAATTCACTCGTGCAAGAACAATCAGTGTAACAGAATAACATGAATCCACTATATTTTGCGGTTTCTTGTCAGCTAGCTGCCCACCACCTAAATATAATAGTATTATCCTTTAAAAACCAATGTACATACTTTGTCAAAACATCGGAAAAGTTTTTATCAGTGAATATTAATGAACACAGAATTATTTATGAAACAATGATAAGAGATGTTCATATGTTAATTATTGTGGATATTTTTAGGTTGAATATAAGAACATCTAGAATAAACAACTAGGGAGATAGGAACAATTATGTAGGAACAATCTATTGATGTTATAGTTATGTAACTTCTAGAGAAATTAACTGAGTACAGGTCAGATAAGGAAAGAGAACTAATAACTAGTGTCATAAAAGAAGAAGTGGATAACAAACATTTGTTAAGTTCACCAAAGCAAGATTGACAACTGAATCTTTCTGAGTATATAAATTTGGTTTAACTCTTTTTATCGTAATTGCTTCGGTTAACCGTAATCAGTCTGACTTTCTTTGTTTCTTAATCATCTTGAAACATTTTGCCACATCAACACCATGGCCACTGTTAATCTGATGGTGTGCGATAGCAGTGCTGGAAACATATTCCTTTCAGTCTAAGCTTCTATGGGTTGTGCTCAGCGATGCGGACACTAACTCTCTTTCTGTTCTTCCGATGTATATTTGGCATATACATGTAAATTGGTGAATATAATAAGGTGGGAATTTGTCCTCACACGACTGTCTTAATGAGCAATTAGTGTGATGAGCTTGGCAGCTGGATAAGTCCTTTTTGTTATGGCTTTATTCTGAAACCAGTCTTTACAGCTAATTCATCACCATTGAAGCCAAGTCTTAGGAATGCAAGCTTCTCAACTACAGCATACTCTATTTCCTTTGATTTAATCTTCCATATTTGTTTATGAATTTCTGAGGGTAATATTATTACATAGACAACGTTCAACTACGGTTAGTTCTTCATCAACATAATCTTCTGATACGATTAAAGAGCGTTCTAACCAAAAGTTTTGTAGTTTAGTGGACAAAAGCTATTGAAGTTTAAATATAATCCACTCCATATGTCCTTTCGAAATATATATATATCGTAATACAAATGGTCGATTAGGAAGATATGTAAGTATATACACTGGTTTTTAAAGAATAATACTATTATATTTAGGTGGTGGGCAGCTGACGAGAAACTGCGAAATATAGTGGACTCATATTATTCTGCTACATTGATTGTTCTTGCTTTAGTCACATTTAAGGAGTTTTTTTATCAAGTTTACAAAAATAAATAAACATAACAAAGTAAGCAAATAACGTTTTAGTAGTGAAAACATTCAAATTTTATATATTTAAAGCCATAACTCAATATAGTGATATTGAGTTAAGTCAGTTATATCACAGGAAGCCGTGTTCATTTCATAGTACTCCATTTTCTACTTTTTTGACCATACAACTGAAAGTTAGGGTACTTTTAGAAGTACTAGAAAGTTTACACTAACTCTTCATCATATATGTATTGGTGTTTTCTACTCCGACTCTGAGCTCACTAAAGTGTTTTCAACTATTATTACTTTTGGTATCTTGCCTTGACAGTACTTGTAGCAGTCATGAACATTCAACTTGATTTCTGGAAAGTTTGTTTGCATTAGTTGAAATTAATTGCGCAGTCATTTGTGTTCCGCCTTTAAATTCGTTTAAAGTAATTTTATAGGAGCTCTACCCACCCAAAGAAAGCCTATGAAAAAATACTGAACATCCGTTAACATTTTTACTGAAGTCCCCAGGTTAATGTACCGAATAGACCTTTAAAAACATCGTATTGATCTGGACAAGAGTACAAGTATTAAACCAAGATCATAATAATCATGTTTTACCTGTTAGTAACTCCGCTAATATGCATCCAAAACTCCACATATCAATCGGTAGACCATACTTACACCCGAGAAT